TTTGTGTCCCAAAAAACATAAATAATGCGAATTTTAAGAAACAGGAATTTCAAGAGAGAGGTGTACACCATCTCTCTCAAATTCGTCCAATGCGCTGTACATTTTTTACACAGGATCTAGATTCTCAAATATGGACCTTTTTGGTGTACACAAGATCTACACAAAATGTGTACATTGCCTGTGTACATTGCCTATGTGTACACATTCAATTCATTTAAAAAGAGACAGAACTTGATGTCAAATTGCATGTATTACCTCAACCCTAGAGATGCACAATTTGTACTCGGCCCCGCTCTATACAAATTGTACACAAATTGTACATAAAATCCCCCTAATTGTACACAAATTGTACATAAAATTTGTGTACAATTTGTGACCAACCAATTTGTAAAATTATTCTCCTGATAGAGAATAAATAAATCGCCCAATGAGCCGTTGGTGACCAACCAATAGAAAAAAAAAAGGAAAATATAAAAACTAGCTGTTAGGGATCAGATCGGGACAGAGACCGGCCGATTCTGGAATCATTTTTTGGCACCCGGTGTCAAAAAGAGAAGTCAAATAAATAAATTATTGAAAAAACTGCATTATATATATATATATACACACACACTACGTATAAAACTACACAATTTTCAATAATTTATTTATCTAACTTCTAGATTGAATTTGAAATTGAGATTTGGTAGACATAGTCTACCTTTTATTGAGGACATGCTCACAAAATTTCATCAAAAAATTCGATGCAGAAACACCTCAAATGAAAGAAGCCTAAAACTTGAATTGAAGTATATATTAGGCCTACCTTAGGAGAACGCTACTCTTCTCTATCATTACATAGAAAATATATAGGCAACAACAACAAAAGTGCAAGTTATTTAAATATTAAAATGTACGGAGTAATGTATTTATTTAAATTTGTTCCCCGATAAAATTTGTAATTGATACCTAAGAGTTACCCTTTTTTTTTTTTAATTTTACACTTCAAATTTGTAATTTGTTACCGGTATACATCATGCATGTCCCGGGCCCTATAACTTTTCACGGGAACGAGCCAGTTCTGGATCGAAATGGAGATCGACTGGATTCGCTCAACCTTGGCTCGGGAGCAAATCCTGGTCCCAACTCAGTCCAAATTTATAATATTCTGTATTTTTTGTGTAAAATATTTTGTGTAATTTTTTTTCAAAAATATTCTTTATACCGGCCTAGTTCGTCCTATTGCCTGGCTCCGCCCCTAGTTGGGACATAAGTAGATTTAAAATTTTAAAAGAATATTACCCGAAATATGACTAAAAAGGTTTGAAAATTCTAAAATAGGGTTGTCATGTTTTTATTCTCAAAATAGGACTAATTACTGTCATGTTTTGGCAGTACTAGACTTCAAACATGACAGTATTTTCCAAACTTGGCTGTAATTACTCATATTTTGGGAATAAAAATATGACAGTTACATTTTCAAATTTTTAAACTGTTTTAATTAGTCCTATTTCGGAAACTTTCCCAAATTTTAAATTTTTAATTCTATTTTCCGTACGTAAATGTAACAATAAGTCAATAATACGAAAATATTTGAGGAATGGTGTGCACGTTTCTTTATAAGACGGAGTATATGTCTCACGTTATAATCGTATTTGACGACCTAGCTCTACCATGTGATTTTAATCATTCACGTGGGTATTGTTATTCTCACGAGTTTTAAACATGTTGTATATTTGTGACGAAAAAACGTGTGGCCTATTTGTACGCAACACTGCCGTCTCAAAAGTCAAAACAAAAAAAAATTGGATAATTATTTTAGTTATTATATTTATATATAATGTACAATTTTTCTACTTTTATAAAAAAAGAATATTTAGTAAATAACATTTCCATATAATTTTCATATTTAAAATAATTTCATATCAAAGGTTAACAACATTCGATCATAAGATTGAATGAGTGGCACCGGTGGGCGTAGCTCAAGTGATAGCGAGGGAGTGCCACAAGGGTTAGGTCTCGGGTTCGAATTCTGGCAACTGCGATGGGGGTCACTATGCTGAAAAATGCATAGGGCCTCTGCAAGTATATATAGGGGACAGAGTAAGGCTCTCTATCTGTCAGATTATAGTTCAATTTACATCCTCTCATCGTGTCGTCCTATCAGTGTTGGGGGGCCTTAGGGATGGGGTGTCATCCTTTTTTTTTTTATTAATGAGTGGCGTAATTAAAGAAATTTTGAATGCTCACGATAGTGATCTGTGATAGAACTCATAGAAGCTAGAAACACAAAGGTCACAAGTCATTGTCCTTCTTGAAAGTAATTAACCACTTAACTCATTATTATAATTATTACTATCAGCCTATCAGGCAGTTCAATCTATCTAACTGGGGACTGGGGTCATTAGCTAGGTTTAAGATCGAAAAGTCAAGACAACTAATAATGTTTTCTTTTGGATTGTTTTGAGTCTCAGACCAGACCAGATCAGACCAGACCTGACTTGACTTCCGTAGTTATAAAATACACAGAGACCAGACGTTTACTAGACCAGATCAGACCAGACCAGCAAATTTCAGTCCAAAAGAAAACATCCTAACTTATTAAATGGAGCATGTTTACATACTTAATTATCACTATATTTAATTTTAGGAACGATGTGTGGTCACTTAATAAATTTCAAAACTTTGTACAATACATACATGGATATATAATACTCCATAGTCCATACTACCATATGTGATCAGGGGCGGAGCCAGACTACTGGGTAAGAATAAACCAGTACAAATAATATTTTTGAAAAAATTAACTTTACACAAAATCACCATAAAAATGTAGACATCTTTCAAATTTGGGGTGGAGCGGGGCCTAAGTGGACCCCCTAGCTACGCCTTTGCATGTGATCAAATTGTAGTTCAATTGACAAATCTATCCAGGCCAATGTGAAAAGTATCAAAAGTTTAGAATATGGTTTGATCTCAAAAATGAATTTTTTTTATAAATTAGAAAACACCATCTACATGTGGCTTCTTTCTTTTTGTAAATCAAAAAAATAAAGAAAAATAAAAAACCATCTGTCTCCATTCTTGAATCTTAGGATGTTTAATCTGTCCCAGACCAGACCTGACCAGATTAGACCAGACCAGATCAAACTTGGATAGTTATAAAAATACGAAGAGACCAGACATTACCAGATCATACCAGACCAGATCAGACTACACCAGACCAGCAAATTATAGTCCAACTAAAAACATCTTTATTAGTGTCCTTTACATCTTTTCAATGTTTAGTGAGTCATCAAGGACTCAAGGTTACCGCAAAGTTTCTTGATCTTCATAAATCTTTTATTGATTATTAATATCATGGAAGATGTGTGATAATTAAGGAAGATCTATTGAAAACTTCCTTTGGGAGTAAAGTTGTAGAGTTAGGTTTACGCCGAACTTCGTACATGCAAGTATGCAACGCTACGATAGATTTGGGATGTGTAATATAAAAAAAAAGCTAAAATTGAATTTTCCATAAATATGCAACGCTACGCTACTATTGTGTCTTTCCACAATTCCTCATGCCGGCATTAAGTGTTCTTAGTTTGGTATTTGTCCCACATAATAAAATCTATACCGTGCTAGCTATGTACTAGTTGCATGCTTCATCATTCTCATATCATATCTCCAATAATGGGCAAGTATATTTTATTTTAATTTGCATCAGTATAAATTATACTCCGTATAATGAATACTATCGTAATATATTTCCAGTGTGAAAAGTATATTACATATATGTTTTAGCTTATATCTCAGCTTACATATTGCGAGTAATTTTGATGCGTAATATTGATTATATTTTTAATAAGAGTTGGTCTTGTATGTTTGAAGTCTTAGGGGCAGATAATTAATATGAGCCTAAATTTACAAAAAATTATTAAACTGAAGCTCGTGGAGTTCGAGAGACAGTTTTGTGGGCTAAAAAGAATGGTTGGGACAAGGTGGTTGTTTCTGGGATTCAAGGTGAGCCGGACTTGTCGTACATCGACTTAGTTCTTGATGATGTGAGAGAACTGCTACGGGTGAATGAGCACTTGTCGATTAGTGTTTGTGGTCGCTCTACGAATCGGGTTGCTCACGCACTAGCTAGAGCGACTCTTTCATGTGCAGATTGTGATAATCTTTTTAATTCAAAGTCTGATTTTATTGTAAGCCTTTTGGCGAATGATGGGTTAGATTAATAAATTTATTGGCTTTTTCCTTTCAAAAAAAATATGGAGTAATAATAATTAATATTTCGAGACATTTATAAGAAAATGTAAAACTCTCTTCTCTCTAACCAATAATATTATCAACTCCTAAGTTCCCCTACAATAACGTGGTCATTCTGAACCGTTTAATTTTTGGTAGCTAAATCATTCTTTTTTTCTAAGTTCTCATCTTAGGTAGGACATTTAGAATTTGATTTCTTTATGCAAATAAACTTTTTCATTGAACCTATTTTACTTATCCTCGAGCTCGCTTTCTCTAATCTTCTCATCTTTTTCTTTATATATCATATCCAGATTCAATCCTTTTCGTTACTTTAAAATCAATTAAATTTATGAATTTAATTATATTTGAATTTTTCTGTCAAACAAGATCAACAGATTGTAACACAAACACTCAATAGATGAAACAATCAACAATTAAGAAATCAAACAATCAACTATGAATGAAATCAATTAATAAACTAATCAAATAATCATACCAGATTAATCTCCTTCGAAGTGAATTTCTTTTTTGAAATGTTGTGAGCATATATTTTTCATCAAGTGTACATTATATCGATAAAATGTTAGCTTAAATTCAATCATGAAGTTAGTTAAATAATTTATTAAAAAACATTGCGCCAAAATATGCTTACAAACACAATGTTTTTTAATATATCTTATTACAGTGACTTCCAGATTGAATTTTGAACTGAACTTTTATGGTCATAATCTAGACTTTATAGTGAACATGCACATAAAATTTTCATCAAAAAAATCTCCATGGAAGCACCTCAAACAATTTCATCTGAAAAATTATTAGTTAAGGGCCGAAATCGGCCTACTCACATGGTCACACCTATTATAATGAACTAAAATTGGACCTATTTTTTCATTTTTTGGGCCTAGGGCCCCTGTCCCTAGGGCGGCCCCTCTTCTCAATTTTTAAAAATAGTGTCTAATTCACTCAGATCATCATACACCTGAAGTTAATTATAATGTCTATGATCACACACACACATCATATCTTAACTCTATTAGTCTCACTATAACTACAATTTATCTAAACCACATGTGAAACATTTAACTAGAGTATTACTAAAAAACGATCCATCATTATTTTTATTGTGTATTAGGTTAAGTTTCGACCGAGTCCTTTTTCTGTCTTCTGATTCTCCACAGCTCCACTGCGTACGTACATAGCATACAGACTAGGACGGCGGAATATATATGCTAGCTAGCTAAGCTAAGCTAAGCTAGGGTTTATGGCTTTATGATCAATGTCCATGCTTCATGCAATTAATATTATAATCCGAATGAAGTAAATTAATTAACTAATCTCCATTAAGGAGCTGCATGTTCCACAGGTCTTCCATGCTCCACATGTTGTCGTTGGATTCGGTGGGGAATGTTCCGTGCTGGAAGGCAGTGGCGGCGGCGGCATCCATGCTGCTACAGCAGCTGGCGGCGGCGGCGGTGTAGGACATCGGGGAGTACTCCATGCAGCAGCTGCTGGTACCCGCAGAAGCTTGGCTTGTACATGCAGTATCGTCATTGTTGTTCTGCGGCCGCAGCTGGTGGTCGTAGCAGGAGAAGCTTTGCTGCGGCGGCGGTTGGTGCGGCGCTCCGGCTTCCGTCATCATCATACACTGGTCTTCTTCGGCGGCGCCGTCCTGCTGGTGCTTCATGTGCTTCTGGATCCTAGTCCTCCAGAAATTCTTTATCTCATTATCTGTTCTTCCCGGCAAGTGTTTCGCTATTTTCGACCACCTTGAATTTATTCATGCAAATAATAATTAATGTACCCATCCATTAAATTTCGCCAAATACGTTACTACTTTTCTTTTATTATCCTCCGTTTTTTTAATCGCAACATGTTGAATTTTACATTATTCACATGTTCTACTTTGACTGCATTTTACACTATTATTTTATAAAAAAAAAATTAAAAAAATATTGTCCAATTCGATCATCTCATTACAAATTTTTAAAATCTGATTTTTAATTTTTTTTATCAATAGAGATTAAGATATAATTACGAGATATAATTACGATCAAAGACGTGCGTTGACAAGTGTGAAAATGTTGACCGTTGCAACTAAAAAAGAACGGAGGAAGTATTAAATTAAATTCATTACATATATACTCGTATATAAACTTCAATTCTTACTTACATACCCACATGTTGTGTAATGTGTACATTTATTCACTAATACTACGTACATTTAACTTTGGAAAATTACTACGGAGTATATCTATTACGGTGTATTAGATTTTTTGCATTTTAAATTTTCAAATTTTGATTTTTTTAATTTTTATTCGTAATGAATTAAATGCAGTATATCAAGGGCTAAAGTTATGCATTCAATAACGTGAAAATGGAAGCATTGCAACTAAATAAGAACAGAGGAAATACTTCGTATATAAGATTAAAAATCATTCAATGTGCATTACAGGCCGGAGTTCCGAATATAATATGTAATACTCCATCTCTTTAATTTCGCTAAGATTGTCTCATTTTTCCTTTTCGGGAAATTTCACTGAGATTGTTTCATAATTTGGTAAAGTTTGTGTGACTCTAAATCAATTTTACTTTATTCTTACTTTATTAATTCAATATCAACCACATAAACTCACTTTTCTTAATAACCGTGTCACACTCTCATGTCTCAATGTTAATGAGGCGGAGGTAGTAAGAGTAATTTGCTCCTATAAATTAAAGAGAAATATATACGGAGTATATATTACGTTTAAATGCGTATTTAACTCATGTTTCAGTATTATTTAGATAATTCACTCATTCTTTTAAATACAAGAGGTAGAGTATTTTATTAAGTTTTGAGATCTCAAAACTTCTATCAGTTTGCATATTTGTGCCGGTATGGGAAGTTAAACATGTGTAACACATGTGAAATCAAAAGATATTTGGTGGCTTAAACAAAAATAGATGTATGGCATGTGGCTGAAATTCAATGTACATACCTACTAACATTGAAAGGGCAGGGCATAGACTACCGTATCAAGCTGCAATTCCATTTTACAACTTGCTCCATCCCTCAAAAGTTTACTACTCCGTTCCATTTTATGTGTCTTAGTTTGACTTGGCACAATTATTAATGAAGTGGTTGAAAAAGTAAAAGTTGTGGTTGAGGTTTGAGTATAATAAAGTGAAATGGTGTAGACCACATATTTCTTTCCAAAAAAGAAAAGTAGGACAGGTAAAATGGGACGGAGGGAGTACCATTTTATTATTCATATATAGTCAAACATGGTTCTATCTCACTCTATTCTACCGTACACCTATTTTTTTCTTCATTTGGGAGCTATATTCTGTAATTCAGTTGAGAATTTAATTTGATGTCTAAATATGTAAACTTAAATTGAATTAAGAGAAAGCTATCACCATTATCTTGTGAAAATTCACGTTATAAAAGTAAAAATCTTTTGAAGTTCCAAAAAAAGTATTGTATTTTTATTCTCTAAATAATACGTAGTAGTATCTATTGTCAACATATTGAAAACTAATGTCATGTTTAAAATGTGATAATGTCATCACTTGATGTTGTGGTTGACTTCATTCTAGTATAGTACAGAGTATATAGTACTTGTGTTCGTATGAGGATGAATTACAAAATCAAGAAAGACAAATTCTACGTACCCTCATTGTATTCTATATTGCTTGCATGAATCCATTAAAATATTGTAATTGGATTCCAATTTTTACAAAAGATATATCAAGATTCATAATTTTTTATAATTTTTCATATGATAACACTAATATTGCGAATAAATTCCACTTTTGATTCTAGGAGTGTATCGCACCGATTCCACAATTAGTCCACGTATTTGACTTTACCACTTTTGGTACATGACTATTGTGTCTTCGCTCATACATGGTCCTTCCGGCAATAATTTTGGTGGTCAAAATTGCCGGAGAAGGACAACAAATGGTCAAGAAACATTAGTCAAATACCAAAAGTGGACAAAGTGAAAGACATGAACTAAATGTAGAAATGACATAAAACTCGCAGGATGAAAAGTGGAATCAATTCTTAATAGTGCATATATAAACTTAAAACAAAATCAAAGATCCGAAGTCAACTAGGCCGGGTTTTAGGCTTAAATTTTTTTCTTTAATAGATCAGTAGATCCAAATGCTAAAATTAATATTTCATGGTTATAATACATTTTCACAGATCCTTCAATTACTTTTCAAACATGACTAAAATAACAACAAAAATAGAACATCAAATAAATTTATTTTACATAGGAATGTTGACTTTTTTAATTGTGGTGATTTGTAGAGAAACATTGTCAAAAAAACTAAAATGGTGGTGGATTGCAAGGGAAAACTAAAATCATGGATAAATGCATAACTTTTGTATATATTAGTTGGGAATTGAATTTATTAATGGGGCATGGTTGTGAGTAGCCTTTTTGAAATTTATACTACTAGTATGTTTTTCTACTATGTTTTTCGAAATTTGTAAGGCCTCTAGAGGTCTAAAATTTCTACTCTGTTATATACGAAATCTTAACTGCTAGAGATTTAAGGTCCATTTTTCTTACTAGATCTAAGTGCTAAAATTAAAATCTAATTGTTAAAATATATTTTTGTATATTTCATTTATTTTTTCAAAATATATACTCCGTATGAAGTAAAAACAACAAAATTAAACTCCAATATTATTTGTTTTGCATCACAATATTTAAATTTTCATATCATAATTATTCACACACAAAATTGGCAAGTAATACTTCGTATAAGAGTACGTATTTAGTTAAAAATTGTGCTCGGACTCGGTGAATATATTAACGATGCTTAAGTTTGCTAACGCAGGAGAGTTGCGATTGGCTTAAAGTACTTGAGTTGCATAAGATTACTGGAGGAAAAATTATACCCCGTATATAACATGTACTACGTATTATAATTGGGGGCATGTGTTTAGATTGACAATTGTACACATGTATTACTAGAATATTACTAGAATATATTGGGCCACAATTATTGGCTATGTATTCACCTCTCCTCTCAATCACTACTTCACTACCGTGTCATCCTGGGATGTTTTCTTTTGGATTGTTTTCAGTCCCAGATCAGACCAGACTTCTGTAGTTATAAAATACATTAAGAGTAGATGTTTACCACACCAGACCAGACCAGACCAGACCAGACCAGTTCAGATCAGACCAGACCATACCAGCAAATTTCAGTCCAAAAGAAAACATTCTCAATCAATTTGACCACCCTTAAGGGTTTGTTGTTCCAACTTTAATTTGTCATACGAAGTTAGCTTGATATGAAATACTACGTACAAAATTTAATTGTAAATCGGTCTCCATATATTCTCGTCCACTGTTTGATAAAAGCAAATTAAACTAAATGTTCTACGGAGTATATTAATGGTGTAGCATACCCCCCATCCTCGTTGGCCGGATGAAGTATAAGTCCAATAACTGTAATACCAAGGTTAATTTTGAACCGAGGCCTAACTTGAATTCCACAATCCACATACTTCCCATCCATTTCAAACTTTAATCCCATTTTAGCTCAACACATATACTCCATCCGTCCCTCTATTAAGTTCCTACTTTGACCTACACACATATTTAGGAAATAAATTTGACTTTACTGTTTAGACACTGTTTGGCACTGTTTAGACACTGTTTGGCACTGTTTAGACACTGTTTGGCACTGTTTTGCACTGTTTGACACTGTTTTAATGTAGGATAACTTTCCATTTAGGGAAATGAGAAGATTATTTTGGGACGGCCCAAAAAGGAAAGTAGGAAGTTAATAGCGGGACGAAGGGAGTATCAACTAAGGGAAATTATATTGATATAGTTTATGATCGAGTTTATCTAATCAAGGAAAGAGATGAAATTTGTATACCATCTTGAAAAGAAAAGTTGAAGAGAATTGTGATTATCTGTATCGCAAAGTTAGTACGAATAGAGCAAACTCAGCAAAGCATTAGCGATATGTGCAAATACAAGAATATTCTTTTTTTTTCCTAAATGTATGACTCATTTAGTTCTAATATAAAAAAAAATCGTTACTTAAATATTTAGAAATTACTTCAAATAAGATTAAAACTATGGCAAAAACTCAAAATAGGACTCGCTGTGTTTTTCATTCCAAAATAGGACCATATTGATGTTATTGGAAACAGGGGCGGACCTCTTTGGTTCAAGAGTGTTCATGTGAACACCAAATTTTTGAAAATAAAATGTTAAAATACATATATAAAATTAATGTAATTATTTATATATTGATTTTTATGTAATACTTCTTGCTCTTAACCTTATTTGTTGGGATTTTAGGATGTTTTTACTTGGACTATAATTTACTGGTCTGGTCTGGTCTGAACTGGTCTGGTCTGATTTCTTTGTATTTGTATAAATATCCAAGTCTGGTCTGATCTGGTCTGGGAAAAAATTACAATCCAAGTAAAAACATCCTTAATAATTGAAAAGTTACATTCCTCGATCAACTGGTGGATCAAACAATATTTTTGTGCAATAGATAAAATAATTTTGAACACCCTATATTTGGGTTCAAGATCCGCCACTGATTGGAAACATACTTATTTCTTCATTCCATTCCTACCTCTCCTTTAAACATGAGTAAAACATAGTCAAAAGTCATAATTAAATGTTTAATTCATAAAAAATTCGAAAAAAATTCAAAAATTTGTAGAAAAATAATTAAAAAAATCAATAAAATTTTTATAAAATAAAAAATCGATTTTTTTTATTTTTTTTTAAAATTAATAAAAAATAGTAAAAACTCCATAAAAATTATAAAAATATGAATGCCTTTCCCACCGCCTGTACTACCTCCCTCCACTACCACCTCCGATCGGTGTAAAAAATGCCATCTTTTTTTTAAATTCCAAAAAAATGGCATATTACTCTTTGAGAATGCCAACATTTTCATTCTGCCAACTTGAATCATTTTGATTTCTGCAAAAAATATGGCATTCGTAATATTTTTGGCATTTTTTCCCCCGGTGACAGGAGGTGGTGGTGTTGCCTCCCTGCACCACCACCTCCGACCGTTAAAAAAATGTCATATTTACATAAAACTGTCATTTCTTTCCGAAAATGCCAAAAAAATGGCATATTTCTCTTGGCGAAAATGCGAAGTTGAATCATTCTGCTAACTTTAATCATTCTTACTTCTGCCAAAAATATGGCAGTCATAATGAATTTGACATTATTTTTGCCAAATGACTGGAGGTGGTGGTGCTGGGCGGCAGAGGCGGCAGCGATTTTTTGTTTTTGTTTTACATTTTTTTTTAATTTTTTTTGTAATTTATTATGATTCAAAAAAATTATTGATTGTTTGGTATTTTTTTACGAATTTTTATTATTTTTTATTATTTTATTATAAGTTAAAACATTCCAATAGCTATAAGGGTATATTTGTCCAAGACACACATAATTAGTCCTATGGAAACATAGTTTGATTTTTGATACTATTTATGCAAAGTACGTGACTTTTAGTCTTATTTTGATAATTAACCCTTAAATATAGTACGTCCAAGACTTGTTCGTTTATGAATCAATGCATTGTCAAGTTATTAATCAAATCAAAGTAACTTTCTCGTATCATGTTTTTTGGTAAAAAGACTTTTATGTATACAATTTATAGTGTAGAGTTTACACGAATAAGATATAATTCGAGTCATCCAAATTTGTTAAAATCTTTGGTTACGTCGGTGTCAATACACTTTTCACAATATATTTTTAAATTGAAAATCACTTACTATCTCTTAAAAGTCTAAAATCATATGTACATACATAATTCATTAATTTGCATTACTTAATAGGTTTGATTCTATTAGTGGTGAATTATGGTTTGATACACAAAATAGATATGTCATATCTTAATCATATTGAATTTAAAATGGTGATTGAGATTACCTAATTTTCATTTAGAGTAAGGATCAATTCGTGTGAATAGTTTCTTAGATAGTACTAAAAGTAGTCAATTTGTAACATGGGTTTCTCAGAAAAATCAGTTTTTACATCATACATTAATTTGGGAATAATAATTTAAATTTACTAAATTATATAGAAATGTGAGTTGAATACTTCAAACTTGCATGCATGTACAAAATAAATATTACAAATATACTATATATGCTTTCCAGTACCATGAACTCAAATTATTTATTTCTCAAATGACTTAAAATGCTATGTGCATCCTCCTAAATGTTCACCTTATTTAAATTAATGAAATCGTCTCATCTGGGATTAATATAACTAAAAAATGCGCACATAGGAGTGTATAGTTTACGCTCTTTATAGGAACAACTATTCATATGTATTTAGGAGTACGCATGTATGTTTTTTTCTCTTTATAGGACCAAATTGCTCTTATTAAATGTATATAAGGGAGATTTGACTTCGCACCCCATTATTTGGAATATATTGGAATTTGCACTCATTTTTAGAAAATTAATACAAGTATATGCCTCACACTAGACATAAATTTGTGAAGGAATGAGGTAAAAAGTCAAATGATTTTACCATAAAATAGGGTGCACACATTTTTTTTAAATGAGATGCAAATCAAATATTTCCCAAATAATGGAATGGAAAATTAAATTCCCCCTAAAATTTAAAATTTATGATATTTAACACCTCACCAACTGAAATACAAAGTCAAATATTGAAATAAATAACAAATAATGAAATTAAATCTAACAAAAACTTAGTAAGTCAAGTGCACTCCATTGTTACCTTAAAATTTGACTTTGCGCCCACCTAAATACAAATCAAAGTCAAAGAAAAAAAAAGATTCAAATAGAAGTAAATATGGAATGCAAAATATATTTTCCCCCTTTTGTAACATATCATTTCAAAAAAACTTGCTACAGTACAATAAACGAGTGAATGTAATGTTTATACTCAATGAATGGATTATGAAATAGATTATGGAATTTGAAAAATAAAACTAGACAATATTGAATTAAAACTTTTATTATTAATAATATTATTATTTGTTGAGAGAATTTATAAAAGAGTAAGATATACACATGAAGAAAGCTAATTAGTGAAAATAAACATCAAGAATTGTATAAATGTTAGCATGCATGTGAGCCATATGTTGATTTCCTCACGTGGGTTTGAAGAGGCCACTTTATCACCAATCATCACAAAATCATGCATATTAGCTCCAAGCTATGAACAAACTTTCAGGTGGGGAGATCATCTCTCAACCACAAGCTATGAATTTAATTCTTTTTTCTATTCTTAATATATTCCTTTGTACTATGGCGAATCAAATTCTTGGATGAGAAAATTCCACCTCTTATTTATTTATTTTTTAATTTAAGTTGTGCTTCAAATGTTATATAGCTCAAAATTATTACAAGTGTTACATTATGCATGCTCAATGATCACTCACCTATTTCCCCACTTTGCATGCAGTTCCATAATCAAAAGTTGTTCTTCCGGCGATATATTTCCCCGCCGGACGTCTGGTCGGAGGTAGTTCAGCCACCGGAGCCGACAACTCTTCCCCGTTCGTTTCAGACCTACCAACATATCAGTAACAAGCTAAGGAAAGTAATAATTAATCAATAGTTTTGTTATATTATACTTTCTTCATTTCGTATTTATTCTTTATTAGTAAAAATTAAAATAAAAAACAGATTTCGAATTTGTAGTGAGATGAATTCACCATTTTTTTCAAAAATAAATAAATTCTCACTCGTTAATAAATAAAATATAGTCAAAGTAGAAAATGTGAATAATGTAAAATTCATCACGGTTCAACTTAAAAGGAACAAAGGTAGTAATTCATTCATTGAAGGTTTAATTTACTACATACATGAAAATTGTGTACATATATAATTAACCTTTTCAATAAAAAGCAATATCGGGAAATTAAATAAATATATATATATGGACATATGTATAATTATATATAATATCATGTTAATTATATTATATTGTACCAGCAGATCGAGCTAGAGAGTTCCAAACACCTTCACCATGATTAGAAATGTAATTTATGAGAATCAAGTCTTCTTCCATAGTCCAAGGCCCCTTCCTAATTTCAACATCTTGGGAGATGCATGGTTTGCTATCCATTTATTTAGAGAGCAAAGGGATGGATGGGAAGGTTGAAAGGTAGGGAAAATGTTTAATAAGGATTTATGGGGAAAATAATAATGGGTGGACCGATATTTATAGACCACCAAAACATAAAAAAGTATTATATTATTTTACCACTTGTAAGTTGTAAATTTTGCTTTATTCTTATAATACTTAATATTACATGTAATGTGCACTTTTAGCCTAACTTTATTTATTTGTTTCAATATTAATTAATGATAACCTCTAGCGTCTAAGGAAAAATGTGCATGTATAAATCTATTATAACTATGACCCGATCAACAAGTCCATGCATGGTAACGTTATGTCACTAGGTCAAGGGTGCACTTCTAAAAATATTCTTTTAACACCACAAGAAATCGTGCATTACATAAATAAAGTTATCCTATCACACAAACTAAAGGTTAGTTATATCTACTCAAGTAATATTACTCCGTATTTATTAATATTATACTATCCTCCGTTTCTTTTTAATCGCAACATGTTGAATTTTACACTATTCATATGTTTTACTTTGACTACATTTTATATTATTATTTTGTGAAAATTATTTTTTTTAAATTATATTGTTCAATTCATCTCATTACAAATTTTCAAAATCTAATTTTTAAATATTTTTACTAATAGGGATTAAGATATAATAACGGTCAAAGATGTGCGTTAGCAAATGTGAAATGTTGACCGTTGCAACTAAAAAAGAACGGAGGAAGTACGTGTATAATAAATGAAATATCTTTGTGTATACAAGTTTGTTAATCAAATTAAACATATATAAGAGACATAATTTGAATGTATATGTGCACACTAAAACACACTAAGATAAGATGGATCTCTTTGAGCCCAAGTGATATTCGACCTATAAGGCCCAAGTTAGAGTAGTTCCTAGTTCCTACTACTTTATCATAAATCTAATTACTTGTGCATGTTGTTGGTAATCTACATATGATCAATTAAGTTGTTAATTTTTATTACGATGAAATCAAGTTTCCAAGTATCTCATGTTATAAAAAATGCCATCTCATTATAATATAGTAATTTTACATCTCATTCAAATTTCAAAGCCACAAATAGTAGTATTTCAATTTAGGGAAATGATGTTAATATACATATATATTTTCCATGCTAAATAATGTTAGAAGTGAAAACATAATTGTCAACTAAGTGTTTACCATTATTCATGCCACCTATTTCAGGGGTTACCAGTTCTTTTACTACGACGTGGTTTCCACTTAATTACGTTCTCTTTTCATCTTAAAACATAATATGACTAATGCATTTTTTGTAGGTCTTATTCCATGAATATTATTACTAAATTAAATTCAAAAGAGAAAAATATGACTTATTTTAAATTTTTGAAAAAAGTGACATATTTAGTGACTAGTTTAATGTGATTCACCATCTTTTTTGTAGGACTTGTTCAAATTCACTGTGATTCGTCATCTACAGTGACTTGTCATTCTAAAATATATTATAGTGACTAGTCATATTTTTGTCCAAAAACATAATTTGTCATATTTTTATCCGGGGAAACTCTATTAGTGATATACATGTCATTTTTTTCTTTTCGTAAAGTCTTAGGTTTTGTACAACAACGAGTATACTATAATTTGTTGGGATAATGAAGGAACCATTTTATTTGTGTATATGTATATAATCCATGCCTCATTTATAGAACGCTTACTTATATTCTTAATTTGCAATGGATGAATATGCTTACTTATGCAGTAGCATAGATATATACATATATAGGGGTAGATCACATACTGACATACAAACTCCCCTTCCGGTGCAAACTACAAACTCATCACACCCGTCCAAATCTACAAAATCAAGAGCGGATAAAAGCTATCCACAATAATGGAGCGTGTGTTCAGATGCAGAGAATGTAAATTGTATGGGCTATTAAATTGCAGTGGTTAGTGGGGAAGGTTACCGATGTCATTTGACATTTTAAAAACGGAACGGCCACATTGATATGGAAAGAATACGTAAATAAATCACCGCTAATACTCTACCACTAATTAATGTAACCCACCACTAACATCCAATCAATTAAGGTAACCCATACTAATATTTACACCTCCATTTTTAGTAAATTAAAAAAGGTTCGTGTGATTAGTAACAATTAGAGGAGAAAGTTGAATATCTATATACATATTAAGGTGAGATTTTTCCAACAAAGAAGGTTGCATTATCAATTCAAATAATGGCTTCACTACAAGTACACATGATAGAATTTATAAAATTAATCTCTTGATTTACGAATTCAGACGCTCCATATTTAACCTTGAAAATTTCGAAACTTATAGATGGTAAGTTTGAGAGCTCTCGAAATGAAGAAGTAAACACTGATAGAAGTTTTTGCATATTAAGGTTATGAGATGCGCATATTAAGGTTACGAGATGTACATATTAAGGTTACGGGATGTGCATATTGAGGTGGCGGGATGTGCATTTCATATTTATAATGTCTCCATAACTTATATTAGAACTACGTAGTGATAAAATATATCGACATTGCATTTTAGTGTTTCATATGTTGCATCTTATCACTATAACATGTGCATTTTAGGAATTCATATATTACATTTTAGTTTGTTGATATATGCACTTCGGAAGTTCATACTGCATCTTTCTGTTATGGCATCTGCATTTTAATAATTTATATGTTGCACGCATTTTATCATTATGACACGTGCATTTTACAAGTTCATGTATTGCATTTTAGTGGTACGATTCCATGTGCATCGCAGAAGATAACTTGCAGCACCTTATCGTTATGACATTTGCATTGTATACTCAATTGACATGCATATGAATTTCATTGTGTCACATTATGCATAGTATTAGAAAAACATGTTTTAAATGGTATATTAGTAGAAGTACATAATATATATAAGAGAAATGTGTCACATTATATGAATTTGCATTTTATTATTACGACTTGTGCATTTTAGAAGTTCGTGTATTGAAATTTAGTAAGATGATATGTGCACTTTAATAGTTCATACTACATCTTATCATTATGGCATCTGCGTTTTAGCAGTTCATATGTTTTATTTTATCAATATGACATGTGAATCTTAGAAGTTTGTATATTGCACTTTAGTGAGATTATAAGTGCACTTTAATAAGATGGTGTGTGCATTTTAGAAATACATGCAGTGCATTTTAGTTAGATGACATATGCATTTTAATAGTTCATATCATGCATCTTATCATTATGATATCTGCATTCCATATTCAAATGACATGCATGATGCATACATAATTCAAGATATCACATAATGCATAATATATTAGTACCATGGTCTAAATGGTAAAAAAAGAATTCATACTAAAATCAAGAAGTCTGCAAACACAAAATTGTTAAATTGATATGAAAACGACGGAAAATTAAATAAGTCAAAAATATCTTTTCAAGAGATATCTGGATGGTTTTTCCACACCAGAATACATAGGAAATTCAAGAACTTTGTCGGAATCCATGGATTTTCAAATTGTTGAATTGCTATGGAAACGAAAACCAAAGCAAAAAAATTTAAAACAAAAACGACGTGTACACGAATTCCAAGGCGACATCGGAATCCATGGCCTTTGAGAACTAATGTTCTCCCTATGCATGCCAGAATCCATGACTTTGAAAGAAGAAAATCAACCACATTCTGTTAAATTTGAGATAGAGATGGAGAACAAAATAAGATGGAAAGGGAGATGGGGAAGGAGATGGAGATGGAGACGCAACCAGAGATGGAGATAGAAACATAGACGGAAAGGTAGATTGAGATGGAGACGATGAAGCATTGATCCTGGAGAGAAGCTTGGTCGAACATGCATGAAAGGAAATAAACGAATCAAATTGGTTATATATATATATATATATATATATATATATATATATATGAGTAAACGTGATTCAGTTTCCAAATATAAAATAAACCTAAAAGACTAATAAGCCCTCAATTGTCCAGTCTAATTAAGATTAGAAGACACGGATGATCACCTAAAATAAAGGGCTAGGATTAGTTTGTAGGTTAGTAAATTAGAAGAGTTTGTATTTAATCTCTAATCTACACATATGTGTGTGTGTCTTGTTGAAGTATTTGATAAAAAATCTTCTTGGAGAACTTGTTTATCAAATGGAATATATATATTCCATTTTTCTTTGAAACAACATAATGATAACATACATTGTATTCAAAGATTTATACTTTATAAGAGATAATTGACACAACCTGTAGAAGGATTTTTTTTAAATAATTCTACACGAGTTCAAAGTTATGGCATTATTAAACCGTAGTTATAGTATCTCGATCGTTAAAATCATTTTCAGCCTGCATTGTTTTATTGTTTATTGTTGTGCTTATTTATCACTTTCTCTTTTGTTTATCAAAACCGTGATAAATTATAAATTACTACATACTTTTTTAGTTTTAAGCCGCTCTACAGTTGAAGTGTGATATCAAAATTGATTAAATTAAAATCAAAACTGTAGCCATCTAAACAAAATGCATAAATTTAAGATGTAAAAAATTCAAATATTCTTAAGGCTTATGGTGCATTTATTTAGCTCAAATGCATGATGTACTAAAGAAGATTATCTTAAAATTTTATAGATCGTAGATTCCTTATTCTTTTACCTTTTTAGGTCTTGCAATACGTTTTAGTCTCCTAGTTAAGTTTTGCGAACTCTTATCTACATCACATCTCTCCTAGTTTAGCTCTGGGTTACAGTGTTTATGATTTTATATCACCTCTTTATGGTCTCAAGAAGATCACTTTCATGGTTAATATGTTAAACCCCGTTTAAAAGGAAGATGCATTCATAACCTTATAATGGCTCTAGAAGGATGAATTATGTTGACTAAAGATGGTCAAATTTTTAACATAGACTTTTGAGAGGAGCTAAGAAGATA